TTAAAGTCTCTATTTACATGCTGGTATTTATAATCACTCTCTCAATCAAATCTGTAATACAACACAATAATCTGACTAGGAATTGTGAAGAGTTCACCATCGTTAAACATTCTCCGCAAACAGTTATTATGAACCAGTACCAATATTTTTTTATAATTGAGTATAATTGATTTGTAAAATCCAGTTATGTCTCAAAATGTTGTGTAAACAGAAAATAAAGATGTCAGTGATATGTTCTCAGATATTTCATCGTGTGTTGCTAGGGGCAGGTCTGTGCTGAATGAAGCTCTTCAGTGAGGTTCTTTAAAGGCTCCCCATATTTCCCATAAACCTCTCTGTGATGTTGCCACAGATTCTCTTCCAGATCTGGTGTTTTATGTTTGGAAAAAGCTTGGGACTTCCTTTATTAATTGGCTTGGCTTGGCCCAGCGCCAGAGAAGGCAGAAATGAGGCATTCGTTGTTGATTAAAAACGGCTGTTTATAGTCAACATGATCAACTGTCAGAGGAGATCCAAGCTGTGCTTCAGCCAACACCCTCTTTTCCCTGGTATTTTCACTGGTATTATTGATATTAGTGTATATTCTAAGGACCAGAGTATATTTTATTGAGTAATTTGCAATGTTTTTGTGAGTTTTGAGTCTTGTTTGGCAAAAGATACTGGAATTAAAAACAAAAATGAGATATGAGATATGGAGTTTTAATTGTCTTCAGGTTCAGTGGGCTTCCAGCGAGTTTATTCTTGCTTGTGCTGTCACATTGAATGGACTGATGTCAGGCCAGTTAATAGTGTGGTTTAGTATTGATTTTGGACTCCAGAGGAAATTCACCTCTACTACCACAATTCCACGATCTGATACAGTATCAGGGCATTTCCAACTGCCCTCCCCGAAGTCCATCCCTTGAAGTGGTTTCCGGGGCCTGCTGGCAGACAGATCATTAATCAAATTTAGTCCGACACCTCAGTCTCACACTGCCTGTTATTGTTGATCATCCACAGCGCTTATGAAATGGAGGAGTCTAAACATACCACTGATTCTCTGAAGATGGATGAGAAAGCATTCCCCTTGTCTTTTGCTGATCCTGAATTATCAACCAGCAGTGAACGAGCCCTCAGAAAACTAGACCTGCCAGCATTAATCAGATTTACCACTACAGCCAGCTGTCCCAGGAATCAAAACATCCTGGGACAGTTTGGTAAATGCGTTTGTTAGTGCCGTGTGTAAGAAATGGCCAGATATTCTACCTTCTTGCTAAGCGATACGAAACTGCACACACAGCATCACTGACCAGACAGCAGGCCACTCTGCCCCACCAAGAGACCCATCCTCTGCAGCAGCAAAGTCATACGCTGTCTAGATCGCAGAGGAGATGCTTGAGGCCTCTTACATTTAACTAGTTTGGAATAAAGTGTGAATTAATTACAGCTAACAAAGAAGGTTTAAGGTAGGACTCTTTTCCTACCTTTGCTTCTCTTGTCACTGACCTCTGGGGGTCACTTCTGCACATTATTAACACCTGCTGTTGTTTGAAGTAGTTGTGTTCTTATGTAGTCCTGACCACTGTGGCATCTGATGGGTGTTTCTGTGCTCCTCAGGCATGCCTTGCCAGTGGTGTCTGATGGGTGTTTCTGTGCTCCTCAGGCATGCCTTGTCGGTGGTGTCT